ACATAGTTATTGTGTTGGACTGTTAACAAAATCTAGTATACTGCAGCCAACTCTCTCTTCAAAATTGGCCTCCATTGTTGTGCACATCAAAGAGCAAACCTGAATCCTATACATGCTGTCCAAGCTCTGATTGAAGTGATCTAATTGATTACAGGTGTTTTCACAGGTGCATTCTGGTTGTAGGCGATTGATAATTGAGTGTGGCATTTCAGTGACAGTGTTTAGCAAACAGCACACACAGGCTCTTAGTTTTGAATGATGTTTCTAATGTAGATAACAGTTTAGTTATTTGCAAAAAGTGTGTTTTAGAATTTCAAACTTATTGTAAAGCAGGGAATGTGCCGATGGTTTAGCACACCTGGTCAATAGAAAGGCTACAGTTTATAGGTTGTGTGTGTGTTTTTAAACATCATTAAATGCATGTGAACCAAGAGTGTAGTTGTGATCATATCGGATTAAAACAGAAAACATCAGAAACAAGTGGAAATACCTCATTCTGCTGGCGGACTCCCCCTCCCCCCCCTTTCCAAAAATAAAATTACAAATTTTAAGATGGAATATGGGACTAAATGACTCGTTAAGGCTGACACATTGCAATGCGTGTGAGGTCATGGTGAAACAGTGTGCAAATGAACTGCGAGTCCTCCAAAACAAAACAGTAAAACTCCAAGCGACCCTATAAATGAAATGTGCCTTTCTGTCTTTCCTTCATCTGTCTGTCTGCACTCAGCGGACACATGGGCTTGTGCATGCACACACACACACACACACATTCTACACAAGCACACGCACTAGCCACAATGACACATCCCAGTGAGTGTTTCAGCTTTTATTGTGACAATAATAAAATCTAGGGCCAGGAAAAAAAAAGCAGAACGACCAGCAAAAGACACAGGGACAGGCAAATCCTCCCTTCAAAAACCGTACTTTTGCAATTTTCCTCTCCTTCCTCCATCTCCTCCTCTTTCTCTTAGACAACTGGATGGCATCTAATTAAGATGTGTTATCTTCCTAGTTTGTGTTGTGCTGTTATTTCAGTCTCCCTCTAGAGAATACTAAGGCAGTGTTGTTTTCAAGCTGTTCAGAGGTTGAAGGTGAGAGTCATTTGTTTGAGTTACATTCAGTTTGAATACACCATCACCCCCGACACACAGTGTTAAGACAGCTGGATCTCTAAACTGTGCCAATGGGATAATGGCTCATTCGTTATTTAGCATGTCAAATTCTGTTGACTCCGGAGCGGAAGGGTAATTATGTTGACAAGACTTTGTTCGCAACTATCAGATGACTACAGGGTAAGTTTAACAAATGTTTAACAAAAGTCAGATAAACGTGTGAGGAACTCAGTCAGTGTGTTAGAATCAAGAAAATATATATATATATTTGATTAAATAAATACTGTGAAAGAAGGGGATTTTATTTGGAAAGAAATAAAATTACCTCAACCATCTGGTGGATTTTATCACAAAATATTTCAGTATTCATTGCCATATTAAATGACTGGAGATGGTTAACTCTTACATAGAAATGAGTGTGGTGGTGTGCGACCTCTGTTGTCTGGCATGTTGCATACTGTACAGCATCTGTATCCAGCTGGGTGATATATATCCGTCATGTATGATCACCCCAACATTAGCCTGCACATAGCGGGTCCTTAACGGGTCCATGCAGCGGTGATGCTTTCATATTGAGTGAAAGTAAACAAATATGAAGCCATGTAACTATTACATTAATATATCTGGCCCATATTTTGTGATTGGCTTGTCAGTGTCTGCCAGGGAAGTATAAAGTGAGAAGCTTCTTATAATAAACCAGTCCATTCACTTAGTCAATTTTATTTAAATATTGTTGCACAGAAAACGGTTTGGAGAGGTTTCCATCTTCAGGATATAAATAGTATGTTGCAGAGAAGTAAGAAAATATAGAAAGAATTATAGAAAACCAAGACATGTGTTTTCTGAAGATTTAATTCAGTGTGTGTGTATACATTGCTGGTTGTTGGTCCCTGTAAAGTCTAGCTCATTATAATGCCCACCTTTTCGCACCAACTGCTTCACCAGAACGAATCAATCACGCTCACGTTATCACTGCCGCTGACATGCTCCTGATGGACAACAGACATTCTGGTAGAAGGTTACCCTGACAGCCTCGCTCATGGCCCGATGAACACTACACGTGAGCGACCGAAGCAACCGTTGACCGTCAAGGGCCAGGCGAAGTGTTCCCTGCGTCATTGAGTGGCCACTCGATTTCCAGGGAAACCTAGAGAAACGAGAACGTGGAAGTCCAGACTGAACTGAACCATTTGAAAAGAGGCGCTATGGCTGAGCCACAGTTTGGAGTCTGTTGTGAATTATTGAATGAGGTCATTGCACCTGCCACTTATCTGTGTTCTCCACCGTTTTACGAAAAAACAGGATTAAACCAAATGAAAGGTCACATATATGAGTGTGGCTAATCATCATCTGACTTGATTCATTATTTTATTGACTTTTTTTGTTTTGTTACAGAGGTTCTGTGTATTTAGTATTCTAAGGGGAAGAGTGTGATTTCAACGAGCTCTTGTCTATGAAGCAGGTAGTGATTATGCCCAAATTATCTCTGTCACATGAGAAATACCTGACGGTAAATGTGAAGTCGGTTGGGTGGGGCACAAACACTGGAACACTGTGTTTGATAACAGGGATTCCCACAGTACCGATCCAATACCAGTGTTTTAATAAGCTGAATGCCTCATTGTGGGGTTATTCTTTGTGTGTACGGAAACATCAGGCTTGACTTAAATATTGCTCTGCTAACTTTGTAAAACACAATTTAACAAATAAATACATATATATAACTTTAATAATAACTTATAATAATAATATAATAACTCTTGTTATTATATTAAAATACTCAATTGTACACCAACAACTTGGTAAACAATTGGTGTATCCATAAACTAAGCATGTTTTCAATCAGCTTAACTAACTCAGAAAAGGTTCAAAATCAACATTTGACTCAAGACATACGTTTGTGTATTTTTGGAAGGGGAATTCCACGTCTTCGACGCTCTCATTTCTCCCCTCAGCCTTGATTACCCGGAAGCAATTGGCTTTCTTTCCTCAAATCAGACCCTGGCGTGTACTCGGTGGTCGTCACTTTCCTTTCCCCTATTTTCTTTTCCCTGTCCTGTCTTGTCCTTCCATTCCTTTCTCTTAGTTCACCTCTTTCACGTTTGTGTGTACATGTTCTTCCCTCTCTTTCCCCTCATACCATACTTTTTTGTTGAGCTTTTGGAGTCACTTCTTAGTTCCCATACATGGAGCCTCATTGCCAGTTGCCTCTTGGCACTAATGATATGGATGCTTTCATTATCTCTGCTGTAGACTATCACATATGTATTTCATGAATGCCGCTGCTGATCTCGCAGAAAGGGTCCCCGCAGATGGAGAGACAGACAGGCCTGTAATTCTTCGTCTGTGTGCGGAATGATAATGATTTTGACCCTGGCCTTGGGTTAGCCTTATCTAGCTTAGCGACGGTTTCCACTGAGCTCCAGACAGCAGGCCCTTACCTCTGTACGCTTTTAACCCCCTCCTGATGAACTGAAGGATTTGTCGTCAACACGCAAACTCTGGATTTACACATGCAGACTCCCAAACCCCCTGCTGACACACAAATTTTCATACGCACAAATGGACAGTATGAACACTCAACTGAGCAGACTTTGAGCTTAATGCAGAGCACACATGGTTGTAAATTGCTGTTTAGTATGTAGTATGCAAATACAAATATGCAAATAAAAGTACTTGTACAACAGGGGGGAATGGAAATCCGAATGTGTGGTTTTTAAGTTATACAAAATGACAAAATGATCATTTCAGATCAAATATCAACATCAAAATATAACCATGACTATGTAAAAATAGTAGAAATATGATGATTGTAATATTATTAAGAGAATGCATTCTCCAGAAGATGTTCAAATATTATCAACGCATTGAGTACCAGAAATATTTTACTGAGTTGAAATCGTTAACCTGACCAACCTTCCATCAATGTTGTTCATCAGCGATAAACTTAACAAATTCTGCTAAGAAGGCAACGGGTACTAGCCAATCAGAGGCAGAGTATCAAACCATCGTAAATAACAGGCCGCGCAGCTGCCAATGGCTGTGAAAGAGGGAATTTGGCATGTGGAGGAGGGGACATTTCAACATTTGCAAAAAAATCTTGCACTCTTATTGCTAGTGTGCCATTGGTTATTAAGCTACCACGTAGCGATGGTGGCACACGTGCCTAAGGTTGCCTACCCTTAGAGGAAATACGAAAACACAAAGTACAGTTCATGGGGTCACAATTTACATTTTAAGCCTCTGTAATATGATAGAAGTGATCTATTCGTGTTCAAGGATAATAGTAACAATTCTGAATATCAGTGTGAGAGTGTGAGAGCTTGTATGGTCGTTGGTTCTGAGTGCTTTCCATGTTGTGACCTGAATACCTCACCGTTGAAGCCTGGCCAGCAGCTCATTAACATTCCAATAGAGCTCTAATCACCACTGCAACGTGTGTGCGTGCATGTGCGTGCGTGTGCATTTGTGTTTGTGTGTATGTGCGTGTGAGAGAGACCACGCACGTGTTGTGAGGACGCGGTGAAAGTGTGAGATGAAGTGCCTGCGTCAGGTGGCCAGGAACCGAACGATGTGATTGGTTCCGTTGACTCTATCGGCGTTCCTCTGCATATTCAAACCATTGTGCAACTTTTGCACAGCTGAGACTCATTTTACTTCCAAGTTTTATTGATCTAGTCATAAAACACATGAGGATTGGTGAGAGATGAAAGGTGCAGCGGTGAATTAACAATACAACCAAAGCTTATATGGTCAGGTCGAAACATTTTGTTGAATCGTTTTGACATTTTGTGTGAGCTTTTTGAAATGAGTCACTCTACTAAGCCTTGTTACTGTTGAATTTTAGAATAATAACCACTCCTTTGTCTCTTTCTCTCTCTCCAGAAAGGCTGTATATTTCCAATGGACGTGACTTGAGAAGGGCACTGTTCTCTCTCAAGCAAATTTTTCAGGTAACACACGCAGATTTCACATGCAATGACTGTCAGTTTTTGTTGCAGAATACAGTTGGTTATTGTGGCCACCGTGCGCCTCCGTGATGACAGGGATCACCATCAACGTGGCGTTTCTCTCCCTGTGTGTGTGTACCTCTGTGGGTGTGTCCTCTGTGGGTGTGTGTGTGTGTGTGTGTGTGTGTGTGCGTGAGTGTGTGGGTGTTTGCATTTGTTTTTGTGTGAATCTTTATTTTAAGATGAGAGGAGTCAGCCACCTTAAACACCAAGTGCTTTTTCTAGAGCACACACACACTCACACACACACACACACACACACACAGACACAGTCGCGTCTCCATCACATTAGAGGACATTACATTGACTTCCATTCATTTCCTGGAGACTTAACCTAACCCCACTGCTACGTCCCCTAGAATATAATGATTTACATTATGGGGACCTGTATTCTGTCCCCAAAAGAAATGCAAGTCCCCACAATGTGACTATGTAGATAGTCCCCACAACATGAGTAATACATGCCCACACACACACACACACACACACACACACACACACACACACACACACACACACAGACAGACAATAATAACCAACCTGTTGTCACTCCCAAGGCATCAAATAAAGAAGCGCGTGTATGCGACGCACCCAACTGCGGCAGAGCAACGTACGTAAACCAAGCAGGGACCGCTGTAGTGTCCCGTGCAAAACAAAGTAAAGTTGACATTTTGTCCCGTTAGTCATTCGTCGTGTGAGTCTTTAGTGTTGTTAGTCACGGGACTTATGTCAGTCGCTAGCCAGGTGACTCGTTAGTCACAAGCAGGTCTCGTGAGTCGTCGCGATGCTCTTCTCCTAAACGTAATTAAGGGATTTTGTTGCCCAAACCTAACTTCCTGTTAAGACGGAAGTTTATTTTGAAAAGACACTATGCATGTGACAAGTATAGTGACATACCGCCGCTGAACGCTAGAGTGGTAAGTAAAGCGCCATGGTTTGCAGCTTAGGGCCACTAAGCAAGCTGCGTTATTGAACCCATTTGTGTGTGAAACCAAACAGCAGTGTGAGATCTTTGAATTACTGCAGCAGTTGAGTGCTATTGTAAGTATCATGAATACAATTTGCACACACTTTAATGGCACAAGAAAAATTGCAAGTGAGTAACGAATGAAAACGTCCTTTACATCTTCTCGTCAATCCACTGCTGCTGCATGAGGCTTTGTGCAACCAATGACATGACTTTCTTCCTGGTTCTCATTTTTCACCTAAAGCCCTTGAATGAAATGATGCGTCATAAAGTTGAGAGCAACCTGAGGGCATCATTCTTTGAGTCTGGTCAGACAGCTTCCTGGAAGTGCTTTCATCATCCTTTTAATTTAGTTTTTGTTGTGAGACATGATATCGCAAAAGCAACAAATTGCAAAACACGTGGCTGTTGACATGTAGAGTGTGTCAGCTGGCCTAAACATGTGGGGGGATTGAAAGTGTATTTACTGTCAACGTAAGTCCAAATCATGCACATTACTGACATCATGTGGTAACAAAAGAGAATGCAACTTGAATACATGAGTAAACTTATGATTTGTAAGAGGGATTATGTGTGGTTCTCTACACAGTTAGTGTTTATTGTATTAACTTATTCTATGCCCGCTTCCTCTGTTTAACTTCAGGATGACAAAGATCTGGTCCATGAGTTTGTGATGGCTGAAGGTCTGACGTGTCTCATCAAGGTGGGAGCAGAAGCTGACCAGAACTACCAGAACTACATATTAAGAGGTATAGTTTCTCCCACTCACTAATGATCATATTAAGATATTAGATCTCATTTCGTGGAAAATGTAAATGAAAGTTTAGTATTATATAAGTGCTTTAAGGCTTGTGAACAAAACCAGGAGATTTGGCTATTTATCAAGAAGGGAGAAAAGCTGCAAAGGTGTGTTTTATAAATACTGAGCTCAAAGCTCATTCTGTGAGAGGAAAACCATATCTCAACAACTGTACATATAAAACTAACAACATGCCTCTTTCTGTCATAGAAAATACAGCGGAAAACAGAAAAAAACTGCATCCATATCATTTCTATTTCCTGCTTTTTGTCTGTCATAAGGTATCAAGATTTGCCTTCAAAATCTGTGTTTTGAATCATTATTCTTTACAGAGAGTTCTCAATTCTTCACTTCAGATCGTACCAAACCATTTGTATTATAAGGACTGTGGTGTTTTTTCTTTTGTCAGTAGGCAGAGTTGCACAACCTCTGGTTAAACTTTCAGTTTCAATTCTGCAGGAGTTTCTGTAGAAATCCCCTAACACCCCAGCACCGATAGAAAACTGAAAGGAAAACAATAAACAACTCTTTATTTACATAGAGTAACAAATGAACAAGTAACAAACATGTTTTCAGGTGTAAAAAAGACGGTATTACAATGTTAAAATCATCAGATGTTTTGATACAATAAATCATCAGAGTCTGCAGATATTTTCTCATCAAAGCACCAAAGAAAACTGCTTTCAAATGAGTATTTCTCTATCACAGTAGGAAAACAATTCAAGTAAAAGTAAGGAAACAAAACATCTTGAATTATTATTCATGAAGAGACTAACATGCTTTCAAGAACTTTAAACAGTGACAAGAGCACAGACCCAACACAAATAGAGCAATCTCCTCTGTGAAAAAACACAACATGATTGTATATTTAACAAAATTCATGTAGGACCCGTATCATTCGTAGTAAGAAGATGATTGACAAAAAAGGTTTTCAGGCCTTTAAAATAGTACATGCAATAAAGATATAATGTAGAAACAAACTCCTTTTTTTTATGTGCTCGTGTTTTTGATCTTCCATCTCAACTACTTTGGACATAGCTTTGTTAATCGGTTCATGCAAACGATTACAAGATAATGCACATGCTATCATCATCGCCTGTATCTTCATCACCTCTATCATCATCACCTGTGTCATCATCACCTCTATCATCATCATCACCTCTATCTTCATCACCTCTATAATCATACCTGCATTCAACATGACTGCTTTCATGATCATTGCTTTCATCGTCACTGCTTTCATCATCGTCATTTATTTCCTTAATCAGGATGCCGTAAGGTCGAATGGAGC